ATATATATAATTATATTATATAATGAGACTTTCTTTAAGAAGTCATCTGTAAATAAATGCAAACAAAGCCATGATAAATAAATGATTAAATTCATTGTCAATGAATTTAATTATTCAAATTCATTACTGGTTTAAAAGTCATTCAAATTTAGACGTAAATTCCAAAAATATCGACTCAATCAGCGCATAAATTGTTTTTGAAAGCATAAACAAACACTGTGAAGACACAATATATGACAAAGCAGCTAATGCAAAAGAGCCCCGAAACAAAACAAAACAAAGCGAAACTAAAACAACCAAAAGACAAACAAACCAGCAAAAGTGAAATGAATGGGGACAGTGCGGTAAATGGATCTTCACATTCCTCACGATTTTCACCACAATGATTCATCCCCAAAACATCAAACACTGAAAGCATGATTCAAACACAGTGCCTTACCTGCTCCGCGCTTCTCTTCTCTGGAAATGCTCGTTTCTGCGTTCAACTACTTGTTGCATACTAGAGTTACTCGAAAAACTCTCACTTCTCATAAGCTCATACTTGGATTTGGCAGGGTCTGAAACAAGCCTGAACTATAATTACCCGGTTTCAAAGTTTCCGACTAGACAGACTGTTTTTGACAACGAGACAATGGCATGAAGCTTCCACAGGGATGGGAAGCCCGCGCGGACAAACTTCACGCTCCCTCCCTCGACCAGCGCGCTCCTTACATCACACTGCTGCATCCAATCACATCAAACATTAACACAAATATAATTTAATAATCCATAAAGAGGGGGGAACTTTGATGCCCTGGTTCGCTCTTTGAAATATACTTAGATCTAAAGTCTTTTATTAATTGCAATTATTGAAATGTACAATAAGTTGTCAAAACATCATTAAAAATAATAGCAAATTATTATTCAGTAAATTTTCTAGTTATGCTAAATGAATAGTGCATAGTATTTTACTCTGTTACAAAGTGTTCCTCAGAGGTGTAGGATGATATTCTGCCCTCTACTGGTGATTGAGTCTTAAAATTCAAGCACTCTGAAGGAAACTTTTCTCTTCGTTATGACACACCTGCAGTTTAGCACACGTAAACATGATATAATTATGTGTTGTCTATTGTATTACTGTATTGCATATTGCGAAACAAACAAAACATGCAAGATTATCCTTCTTGTTTATCTTGTCCTAGGAGACAAGGTTTGCCGTTTCCTTGCATCTTTTTTTGACGGAGAATAAGCAGGATATAACTAAATAAAAAAATAATCATTCAAATATTTATTTAAGAAAAGTAGTAAGAATCTGTCATTGCTATTTTTTCAACTTTAGTAACTAAGGTCTATTGATCAACTTCAATTCTGAATGGGGGTTATGACCTGATATTGCATATTCTGTATTGCATTGTTTGTTATGTGTATTGAACATTTGATTTTAATGTGCATTTGTGTATTGTGATTTTGTGTTCAATAATTCCTCATAAGATCAATCTTACATAGCCTATTAAATTAAATTCACAGATGTAGCCAGACTGTGAGTGACGTACATCCTTTTAAAAGGGCTCTTCATTTCTCAGGTCTGCTCGGTCTGATTATACTCCAAGCTTTGTAAATGTCAAATGTGCATCACTAATACATCTTTGCCAGCGGGTGATAAACAAATGTCATGCTCTCCTCAGCAGACGGGTAATCTGGACTTTATATCCCTGAGCTTCATTTTTATTACCTTCATTGACATTATATTGTTAGAATCAGTGTGGCTGCCTGAATTCCCAATAAAATATTTTTACCTGCAGCAGTTAAACAGCCTTTTCTATGAATTTAAAGAGATATAGCTATTTTCATTTTCAACGTAAAAGAACTAGATTCATGGGCTAAATAAATCGGTTGATGTATTCATAAAATAATCTCTTTATGTGTTCTGCTGTCTCAAGAGTCGATAGACGAACGTTTGCACACCTGTGTCCCCCAATTTGCAAATTCAGTAAAACAGGTCAATGAGATTCAAAGGTGATAAAGCCACTGTGGACCTGCTACAACAGTCATCCTGATTTATTCATGGATATTAACTCAACAGGATCCACATTTTAAAATAGGACTCTCAATAAAAACCCTGTATTGATTATGATTCACTCACTCAGCTTTGGTAGAGTGGTGTATATAAGATAAGAGAGCATCCATCCACCTCATTCACCAAAGCCTGACCTGATAGGACCTTCAACCTGCTGCAGAGATGATCTGTAACCTGCTTCTGTCCTGCTCGGTCCTCCTGCTCTCCTGCAGTCATCTGTTAGCACATCCTGTTATGGACACAGCTGACATGACTTACAGCGGCCCTGGTGAGTGCATTCAGACATATACTGTATATATAGGATATTTTTCCCCTGGCAATGCTCATTGATTTTTTTTTTGTATATATCTTGGATATTTTCTCTTACTTTCTCTTGCAAAGTTGTGCTCATGGATGTTCAGGATCCATGTATGCTATAATATTACTTGAATATATATTGAAGTATTTTTTATAAATTTTTTAAATTATATATTATTAGGCTATATATTTAATAAAAATAATAATCTATTGAACATATAATAATATTAATAACAACAACACAAGCAATACTAATGATTATTTTATACATACACAGTATATAATTATTATAATATATATTAAAATATATAATATATATGTAATAAATCTTGCTTTTCACTATGCATTTAACATTATTAACTCCATCTCTCTCTTTTTTCCACCGATACCCATTTTCATTGACAACTGGCTTACATTAGTACACAGGGTGCAGAAATCTAACATTAATTTTGTAATACTGGTGTCAGATAGCAATGCAGGCAAATCTGCTGTAGCTGATGAAATAATGTCTGTCTGATTGCTGCTTTAGACTCAGTGGAAGAGGCCGGAGGCGTCAGTCCAGATGATTTCTCTGTCTCTGATCTCAATGATCTCCTGCAGAGGGCGGCAGTCGTAGGATATTCCCCACTGCTCAGCCGAGAGAGTGAGACTCATTTATCTGACAGACATTTAATCTCAAAAGTTACAACTGCACCATCTTTCAGAGTTACTGAAAGTTCTTCTGCAGACGAAATGAAATCACTCTTTTGTATGCTCATACTGTTTCTTTCACAGATATCAAAGTGCCTGGGCAGACTCCTAAAGAGGCACTTAGAGAGGTAAATGAAATAATCTCTAAGCATGTAAATAATGCTGTGTTCATGTGTCTAGATTACATTTTCATGCAAATATGTGAGCAACAGCCTCTCTTTCTCTTTTAAGTTACTGTTAGAAAAACCGTATCGCCTCATTCCTCCCAGCGATCTGTGGGGCAGCAGGAGACAGTTCAGGAAGAGAGGCGGCGGTGCAGATTGCTTCTGGAAATACTGTGTTTGAGGCATTCCTGACATATTGAACTGAGTCACAGGGCTTTTATAGCTTTTCCTACCAGTATGGACTCTCTCTTTCACACACACCCACACATAAATATACACAATACAAAAGCAAAAATATCCAGGACACAGTTATAAAAACTTTTGTGCAGAACAGTTGCTTCACAGAGAGACTGATGTAAACCACTAACGTAAAATATCTGGGATTATTTTCCTACATATCTATGTAAATTTTGAATGACATATAATTCTGGAATATTTGGTATAATATTCCAAATAACACTATCTTTATAGAAGAGATCACAATAGCTGTACTGTATAAGACATATAACTGTAAACTAGAAATAAATGCAAAAATAAAATAAATAAATAAAAAGCCTCCATTCTTTGTCAACAATGTTGTTACCCCCCCCCCCCCCCCTTTGTAATTGAAATACAGAATTCGCATTTGTATATTTTGTAACTCATTTTATTCCATGTTTTACAACGAGTTCTTCATAGAGAGAGCATGCGGATGAGATTTGAGTGTAAACCTGGTAGCTTTGGATTGATTGGTTCAAGCTCTTTTGAGACTGATGAATCAAAAAGTGACTATTCTTCAACCTTGGAGACTGGACATCCACTTAGCTGGAGATAACAATCGGTATCTAGATGCATCTACGGACTTACTGAACACACACAAAAAGAAAAATACAAGCCAAAGTTAAGCTATCATACGTGTTCAACACCACTTGCCACCTTTACTCTATTTATATAAAATATAAAAAATACATATTAAAAAATTTAAATTATTTTGGGGTCATATCTAGGGCACCAAGTCTTAAAAATAAAGGCATCTATGGTTCCATTAATAACCTTTAACATCCTCGGAACTTTCCATTGCATAAAATGTTCTTTATAGTGGAAAAGGTTCCTTGGAATATTAAAATATTCACTACACTAAGAAAAAAAACTGTTCTCTTAAGAACTGATCTCTTAAAATTCTTTAGGGAGACCAAAATGTTTTTATGGCCATAAAAAATCATGCTGCTGCTGTTTTACAAGAACAGCAGTTCAGTGGCTGTTTGATTACCTGCTGTGGACTCTTGAGGGTAAGGCTCTATGAATTGCTACTCCTAGACGTGGCAGGTCTCTCTTCTCCAGATCCTCAGTATTAGGCCACAGAACCTCAGGCTCTGTGTCCTGTCCCTGCTGCTCATTTACTGGAGTCATCGCTCTCAGGATCTCTAACATCTAACAGCACACACACACACACACACACACAGTAGTTAAGGGTAGTCCAATATTCCATAAACAAAAACAGCTGAATGAGCAATTTCTCATTTTTATGACTACATAACACTAAAAGTGTCTTCACCTCTCTGACAGTGTGAGCAGCAGTGTGTACAGGCTGACTGTCACCCCACAAGACACACAGCAGCAACAGACTGACAGACATGCCAAACATCCCCTTCATTATATCTGTAAAGCAGAACACAAGTAAATTAGGTTTAAAAAATTTCATCATTTCATAAATAAAATAAATACATAAATTACACGTTAAAAGAAAATAGCCAATGAATGAGCTTTTAGGCATTAAACAAACAAATATATAATAATTATTGCATTAAGTAGGATAAATTCTAAATTTTAAGTGTAACCCATATTGTGTAAAATAAATTCCATAATAAAAATATAAATACAAAACAAGTATATATATATATATATATATATATATATATATATATATATATACATCCCCCTACACACACATTTATATCTACTGCACACACAAATTACAATATAACATATATAACAATATAAATGATTATATACATGTACAAATTGAAAAAAAATTTTTTTTTCAGTTGTTCATAATGTACATGTATGCATTATATGTACATGTACAATGGTATTTTTTTTTACAAAACATATTACAAAATGATTAGCACAAAGAAGCAAATCAGAACTGAAATACAGTGAATGATACATAGGCTAACTGTCAAAAATTACAAACACTTTGTTCCTTACCTGAACAGCCTCCAGCAATTCCCAGGTGGTTGTTATTGTCCAGAACACAGTGCTACACTGAGGTTAAAGTATTGTCTTCACAATTTATATCCTTAGGAGGAGTATGACCAATAACAACGTGTTTAGAGTCTAGAGGGCAGTTACCTGGCCCATAAACCCTGCCAGTAACGGACCCCATCACTGTCCCCTGTTCTATTGTCAATAATAAAGCAAAAAATGCCTCTTCAGCACAAGCACAAATGCACACACAGCAGTCATTTCCTGTTATCATAAGCTATTATTCCCACCAAGCATCCACCATTCCTGATCACACAAAGTAACTAACCATTACTGTAATCACTGAATTTGAATAGTCTGAGGACAACCAATAATGAAATTAATTTACTGTATGACCTTTCACTAATTCATTATCATGATTCATTAAACATGAATATCATCATTTGGACCTAAAACTGTCTAATAACTGTCCTAAAGCATCTTTACGTATAATGACAGGATGCAGTGGCCAACAGATGGCCCAACTGAGCCAACAAAACAATTCAAACTGAAATATAATTAAACTAATACAGTTTAAAACATTTTCTTTTAGTTTAGTTTAAAAAAATACACTAAAATAACTTGAAAAACAGGCTTATCTTATGTTTTTCCCCTTTTATTATTTTACAGCAGAGAGAATATAAAGCATTCAGAAAACATCTTTCATATTTTAAGGGCAATTCAAAACATTTTGCATGGCTTCAGCAGCTGAATTCTCTTTTTTAACATATCCATCGATTCAGTGACTCTTTAACATGCACAATTACAAAAATAAATTGCTCAAACCAGGGGGAAGGAAGAAAAAAAAAAAGGACATTTAAAAAAGAAGAAACAAAAAAACAAAACAAAAATCAGGGGTCATCAGGAAAGGAGAGGGCTACATAATTGGGAAAGACACAGAGAAAGACAGCTAGAAGAGGAGAGGAAAAGTAGATCTAACACTAGTTTAACATGCAAAGTGTAGAGAGCCCCAAGCGTAGCTTGTAATAAAGGCAGGGCCGCTATTTTCTGGGTTTGAAAGGGATGAAAACGTGCAGCTCCATGAAGGGTGTCGTATAAGCACTGTCCTTAAACTACTGCATTCTAATCTCACAATGCTGGCATTTGCATAAGAGTAAGTCAGCTACGTGTGTCCAACAGATCGCTGTCCCCATTAGGTCTACAGGTCTCCACTTCAAGAATTGCTTATTGCTGTGTCCATGAGCGGTGGGATGTTTCCTAGGGCTCTGTTCTCCCTTTTCTAAAGAATGGATGCTTAGGAAAGGCAGTCTCTGTTCGAAGCCGTTGATGCGACAAACAAAACTGATGAGGTATCTTCTGTGGGCTGAGCTGTGATACCGTTAAAGCTGAGAAGCAGAATTGTCAAAATGAACCCGTATGCGACCAGATGAGGTTATTGTCTGGCGTTTATAATCTACAGCTATTCTTTTAAATGCTTTGAAACGTCTATCTATGACTAGAATAAAGTGATGATGATGATGTTGATGAATCGATCTGAGCAGCACTTTTTCATTATTGTGATACAGTATATCCACGGCAGTGTGTTTATACAGTGACTATAGGATCCGTAGAAGCTGCACTGAACCGAAACATCCATGCGTATTTACACAAGCATCAGACGCATTCGCGTAGAGTAGACCTGCTCCATTGCAACGGGCTTAATCACTCTTATACAACACCAGTCAGTGCCGCACTTTCGACAAACCGGTTTTTAGGGACCCAAGGTTACGCAAACTCAGCTCACATAGTTGATTAAAAAAAGGTGAACAGCATGACATGTTCAGAATCACAGTAATTTGATCAGGACAGTCTGGCTCGTTTCCCAATAAGCAGCAACTAATTCTCAAGTGACCTGCTCTATCTCCTCCTTTTCTCCAGTTTGGCACCTGAGTTAAGATACAAAAGTGAACCCGTCAGATTCACACTGAGGTTTCAACTGCACCAGTGCCATGGACACTTTAACGCGGATATGGACACAGTTCTGTGGCGCGTGCTTTCGTATGAGGTACACACGTTTTTTTTTTAACCTGTTTTTGTGGTGGAGTACGTTAGTTGAAAACTGGGAATGGAAATGGAAAGCGGAGTGGAACTGAATTCGAAAACGAAACAGGAAGCCAAATTCTATTTGAAAAAAAAAAAAGATTCATGCTGCCCCTGTAAATATGAGTAGTACTGACACATTGCCAGCTGTTTTGACTTTCTGTATGGTAAAGTTATGTTTCGAAGCCCTCGGTCTGTTTCAAGTTCTGCAACCCATAAAACCAGCTGCTTTACAGAACAGTATTTCGTCGACAAGTCTACCTGACTACCAAATCTACAAAAATAAGCATGCTTTGGGTGCTTTTTCAGCCACCCGGTTATCTATGTTACCCATGCAAGCATAATAAGACTCGAGTTGCCACCGCAGTGCATCAGCTGACAACCTAAACTGCTACCGGAATGATGAATGCAAGGCAAGAACCAGTCCTCGCCGGTTCATCTGGCAGTTCCAATAGAGGACTGAGTTATGACGAAGCCATAAATTCCTGGTGTGTTAAAATGAAATACACGGAGAAAGCACGGACAAAGAAACAAGTTACGTAACGGAAAATAAAAACGGACAGTTCACTTCTCGCTAATGCCAGTCCATCGCAAACCTCACATGCAGACTGACACGGCTCGCTGGATTTAGAATATGATCAGGCACTTCCAACATAAGCACTCTGAAGAAAGCATTTACATATCATTCTCTTGAACAGAGAAGCAAATAGAAAATATGACAAAAAGCATTTTGACATGAGGGGAAACTGAAATCTACACATTTTTCAGTGCATTAGAACTCATTCTCAAAAGCGTTTTCATATACTTTCTCCTTTTCAAAAGCCACGGCGACACCTGCTGTTAAAAGTAACGTCACTGCAACTCCGGTGAAACTGATTTTTTTTGGAGGTCTATCTGGCTGGCCCTTGACGCCAACGTTTTAGCACCAAAAGAATCCCGTTTAAATGCATAACAGGGAACCCAATCTTTCAATCAGTGTAGCAGTGTGGATTTCGAAAGAGGTTCTGTCATTATTTCAGGCAGCTTCTTTACTGTCAATTCACAGGTTTTTTTTGCACATCTTGTTGAATTAGACTGTCAGAACCTTACACTTAAAGCTGCATAATGCTGCTGTAAGCTCCACTACCTGCATTCATAACAGAAAAACATACTTTACATCATTTCATTGAAATAATACAAAAGTATTCAGACTTATGAAACACAAAACAAACAAATATACAGTACAGAGAAACCAAATGAGATATGTGATCCACTTAAAGATCCTTCCTGAATACACCATCATCCTTGACCGACTGTGTTGAGAGGTCATGCTGCTGAATGCAAGTGAATCTGATCGCGTTTTACCAGGTGATTATCTGTTCAGAAATGATTAACTTCCTTTAAGCAGTAGCATTCACATTACTTGGCACCATTGGCAAAAAGATTCTTGGTAGCCCAGAAAAAACAAACAAACAGATGTAAACATAACCTAATGATCATTTTGCCTTTTCTCCTACCTCTTAAATACAGTATTTTTCACAATTGCAGGAAAGTCATGCTTTAGCAAAATGTTCTTCTCAAGAACATTCAAAGTAAAATAAAATACTCTTATAGTGAAATAATTTTACAGAGCATAGCCACTAATGCTTTTGAACTTTTTTTTGTATCTTTGTTTTTGAACAGAAAAGAACACTGGTGTGCTTTAAGAAAACCCTTTAAAATCTTTGAATATCCAGCGCAGTGTAAATTCATTTTTGAGGATTGATTGTTACGACACTTAACCAGTTAAAAGCTGCGTTTGTTTTCTATTTGAATATATTTTAAAATGTAATTTGTTCCTGTGATGGAAAATCTGAATTTTCGTTAGCCATTACTCCAGTGTCACATGATCTTTGAGTAATCATTCTAATATGCTAATTTAGTGCTCAAGAACCATTTCTTCTTGAAAACAGTTGTGCTGCTTAAAATATATGTCGAAACCAGTAGCGTATAGAATTTAATATAATCATTTTTATAATAATATAATTTGTTTGAAAGAACACTCTTCTGGCCAGTGCTCTATGCACAAGTTCTTCACTGATGATTTGCCCCATTTTCTTTAATGCCTCACCTTGTTAGTTTCTGCACTAAGTAGAAATATAGGACAAAAAGCTTAAAATAGTCTGCATTTCATTTAATACAAAATCAGTCGAAACCTTCTCATCTCATCGCTTCTGACAAGAAACTAAAGCTGTCTGCTGATTATTCTGTCTACGTCCGTTTGAAACACGTTGCTCCAACACCTGATGAAATACAGGTGACATTTGCACAGGGTAATGCCACCAACTTAGCTTTTATACTATGCTTTCTTTGTATACAGATATCATATCTACTACCAAACAGTTAAAGAGAGATGGACTGATAGACAGTCAGTTCCCACTGCAGCATGTGCAATAAAACAGGCTTTAGCTGAACTAGTCAGAACCAAAACCCAGTTTTCTCTGGGTCACATATTTCCCAGCATGCCTCATGGTCAAAGAGCAAGACTCATTATCATATATTCATGCAACATCGCTTAGACCAAACAACCTTCTGTTCTTCCGTCTATCTTATCTTTTCCTCTTTACAAATACAGTAAGTAAAGGAAACATAAATAATCAAGACAGGAGAAAAAGGTGCTTGTTTAATGTAGCGTCTCAGTGGTTAGTGCATAGCACGACACAACCGATATCCTGAGGCCGATCATTTGCTGAGGCCCTTGATCTCAGTCATCTGTTCGTCCAGTTGGTAGCTGTCATGCATGCAGGCATCAAGCAGTGGTGATGAAGGAGGGCAAGAAGGAGCAAGAGGGGATGGGAAGGGGGTCTTTGTGTGCGTGTGACAAGCGAGAGGGAGAGAGATAGAAAAAAAGGGAGACATACTGAATCGCTGAGGCTGCACTCACCCGCTTGAATAGTCTATGGTCCATCAAGGGGCTTTGCATTAACAGCAAAACAACACCAGACAGCTATTAGCACACAGCAGATATCATGATGGAGAAGGAGGGTGAGGAAAAAGAGCCAAGGGAAGGGAGGAGCACCTCTCACTAAACCACTCATGATTAATGAATCACACTTTCAAGGATAGAAAAAATAAGTTCCGTTATAACTAAATAAAATCGAAAATATGGGAAGTGTCACATTTGTATTTGTATCAGCAGTGTTTCAGGTAGCGGATGAATGGGATGGCCAGTAGGGGGCGATGTGGCGGTGGGAGAATACCTGTGGCGGCAGTGGCGGAGGAACCTCATGATCTTGCGGGCGGCCTGATCCTGCCTCTTAGTTAGAAGACTGCTTCTGAAACAGAAACATCACTCTTAAACACATTTAATTTTGCACATTACATCTAGTACATGAATAAAATATCTCGCAGGGCAAAGCTCAGAACAGTATGCCACTTGGAACAGATTCATAAGAGCTATTGGCTGAGTACAGAAGAACAAACACCAGTTGGAATCAGATTTGGACTGAATTTACGAGGCAGTGATTTATCACAGGGCAGTCTAGTGAGTGCTACCTGAGTTTGTGCTGGACCAGTGCGGCGGTGGCCGCTCTGCGGTGAGGCCTCAGCCGGCCGAACTCTCTGTAGCTGCGGTAGCACTGCTGGATCAGCACGGCCGCCCGCCGGCTCTGCTGGAACTTCTTCTGCTCGTGGTAGCTGCGGAACTTACTCTGGATAAGGATGGCGGCCTGCGTCATCTTCTTATAAAGTGCATACTGATACATAAACACAGTATTGAAGATATTAATGACAAAAATGTAATTGCTCCCTATTCAACTCACACTGGCCACATACACACTACACACTGTAGAGAGTGACAACCACATTTAAACAACAGGAGGGTGAGTAAATTATGTCAGAATTAACATTTTTGGGTGGATTATCCCTTTAAGTATACATCACTAAATTATCACACGTTTATGAGTTACTCTCAAAACTGCAATGATTGACAGAGTGAAAACCAAAGCAAAGTTTTGGTGTTTGCAGTTGTAAATAAGTAATATTGTCAATTAATCAATATTGCCGTGATCACTTACTATACGTGTCTTGAGGCTCTTTTTTCCACAGATTTGATTATAAATATAGGCAGTAGCAGTTTCCAATTAAAATTTTTTTTATTATTTTAATTTATTATTTAATTTATATATTCTTATTTTAAGAATACAGTTGTGTATTTTGGCTTATTTAACCAAGGCACATTGCTTATTTTGGGCTTCTTTTACTTCTTCTTCCAGACCTAATTACTGATTATCTAGAAGAGGGGCTTGCAAACTTTTTAAAGCCAACAACCACTAAAAGATATGTTGCCCTCAAAGTAGCTATATATTTTTATTTATAAAGAGCTGTTTATACTGTGTGAGACAAAAAGCTTTATATAAAGGCAACATGTTGTTTCCAAAATTAAATTACTGACTTTTGTATAGTTACTCTATTGAAGCCAATGCAAATTACTAAAATATGATCTAGAAAATATTGACTTTGTATTAAGTTCAACCCATTATTATGTAATATTAGATGCATAAACCTGAAGAGAAACAATTCAATTGTATTTTTATAGTGCTTCTTACAATGAACATTGTTCTAGAGGATTTACAGTTTTCTAATTTACAGTTAACTGTGACCGCTTTGAAATGCACTTTGTATTTTTCATTTGCATTTTGTACCCGCTCAGATTTTCTATGGACCCCCTAAAACACTCTTGCAGCTATCTGGGGAACTCCAGAAACAATCTGAATACCCTTGTCCTAGCGAGATCGGTCTGTTTAGTCCACAGTATATGGAGCGTCCCTTGCAACTACTTCCATCAAAATATGCGAATGACACAGTGTGTAAATGGCCATTGCTATTAAATTAGTTTTAATATTTGTGCAGACAAAAGAAAATCTGCTTTAAATAATGCATGAACAATCAAACAACAAAATTACCTTCAAGGCTATCCATGTTAGCTTGCAAAGGGGGGAAAAAAATAGATTTGTCATGAATTGGAAACTGTGTGTCCTTACACTAAGAGCTCTTCAAAAGCTTTTAAACAACAATTCACACAACAGCAGGCCTTATAATTGACATTTGCTGGAGCTTGACGTATTAACCAGACATCCAGCAAAGGTTGGCAAAGTCAATGTCAGAGCATCTTAAAGGATTACCTGCTTGTACTTCCTGTAACAGCGCTGAATGACAGCGGTGGCAACTTCCTGTTGCTCGCGCAGTGGGCGTCCCTGCAAAGAGAGAGGGAAATGGGTTGGTCTGAGGAGTGGGCAACACTTGGGAGACGCCCACTAGGCTCTTCACTTACAGGACAATGAAAGTGATAGAGAAAAGACGCCCTTCTCGCTTAACTGCAGCTGGTGCTGAGAGAGCAGACGCCTCTGAGCACAAGCCGCCAGTCTGGCCAGCTGGTGAGTCTTTGTGGAAACTCATTACAGGCAGCCACAGGAGGCAACAATCGCTCTTTACAATAAGCCAGGCCATGCGCTGGTTAAGCCACCTTACCCATGCTGAAGCTGTGGGGACTGACTACTCTGTGCCTGTGTGTCTATGAACTCATAAGGAAGGACAAAGCAGGAAGGAGACAGAGGGTGTCCTGTGTTTGTTCCTACCAATACCTGCGCACAGATGTTTACATCCTGCCTCTATTCACACATCAACACAAGCACGTGGCACCCGAGCCTCTGGCCTGTACCTTGTACTTGCGGAAAGCGGTCTGCACCAGCCGTGCGGCTTCGTAGAGCTCCCTCTGCTCGGGGTCGGACAGCGTGAGCTGGGCTAGCTCTCTTTCCACTTTGCTGTTGGAGGCTCTGAGAAACTCACTCCACTCGGACGGAGCAGGCAAGGTCGGCCTCTCAAACTGACCCTCACACATGGGTGAGTTACCAGGGCTCAGGATAGGGTTGGAGGGAGGGGTCAGGGGTTCACTGTATATGGGACTGCTCAAAGAAAAACAAAACACACACACATACATACATGGAGTTAGCAGGGTCTAGGCATACATTTTGTTTTTCCTTAAGCACATCATCGCCAGGCTGGGAAATTAAAAGCGCAGCAGGTTGAATTTACTTTGACATTTGTACAATTATAAACATTTTTGGCTGCTGATCAAAAATTTACTTTGATGATCAAATCAGTACATAAAGACGCCTGAATGTTCGTAGATATTTAGTATTATAGTTTAGAGAAAAACGTTATATGTTGCAAAAATTATATTTAAACTACTGTTCAAATGTTTGAGGCCTGGTAGGCTTTGTTTGAAAGAAGTCTCTTATGCTCACCAGGGCTGAATTCATTTGATAAAGAAAGAAAGAAAGAAAGAAAGAAAGAAAGAAAGAAAAAAACCCAAATAAAAACTTTTTTCTATTTGACTATATTTTAAAATGTAATTCCTGAATTTTCAGCAGTCATGACTACAGTCTTAAGTGTCACATGGCATTCAGAAATATCTAAAGATTTTAATATGCTGATTTGAAGCTCAAACAGTTCTTATTATTATCAATGCTGAAAACATATTAGCATTGTTGAAAACATTAACTGCACTGCTTAATATTTTAGTGAAAACCGTGATACGTTTTTTCAGTGCTCTTTGATGAATAGAGTTCAAAAAGATTAAAAAGATTAGAATATTTGTATATATTTATTATTTAATAATTTTTGTTATGTTCTGATTCTGTCATTAATTCTTTAAAAGTTCTTTATTTATTTTTTGATTTTTCAAAAAATAACTCTAGTTCACTTTTTGGTTAATGCTTAACAATATTAATGCTTCATGTATTTGTTCACATACACAGCGAGTAGTTTTATTATTATTTTTGAATGGAAAAATTCAAATATTTTTTGAATATTCAAAAAACTTTTTTCAAATCATAGTTTTCAAATTGACAAAAGAGTGGCTAGTACATTCACCAGCCACTGTGGTTGGTGGGCAAAAAAGTAAATTTCCCCCCCTGGTTGCTGCATATTATATGCATATGTATATTAAAGTAATGACAAACACTAACCTCAAGTGGATGATGCTGGGCAAGTGTTCCACGTCTCCCAGGTAACTGGCTAGCCAGCTCATGGTGTTGGTGAGCCCACTGTTGTCCAGAGGAACAGACTCCACGGTTGGTAAATGTTCCCGCTTGATACGCTCCGGAGTGGCCTCAATGATGTGCTCTGCCAGGCTCATCATATTCGCCTGCGAGGTGCACAAACACATGAATTCAGTGTTAAACAAGCACAGACTTTCTGTTGTGACAAAATGCACACGTACACTTGCTAACCCGACAGATCAATCAAGTGCCGGGGTGTTTACTTTGGAGGAACACACTGCTACAGCCCCTCTATCCCCATAGAGTGACAGAGATGAATGAGGCTGGACTAACTCCTGGCGATGGGAGCAAATCAATGGCAGAAGTGTATTATGTGGTGACAAAAGTCTGGACAGAGAGCAGGGCCGCAACCGCCGCTCTCTAGCACTGATTTCAGCAGGACGGATGGTGCTCTATATCTCCCTTGGCCTCTCTACGCTTGTAGCTGTGTTTGTTTGCAGAGTCTATTTCTGACAAATGAATCAGTACAGGTGTAAATGAGGCTGGCTGACTGTGAGCGAATGCCATTTAGGGCACAGTGCGCGTTTGTTTATGTGCAGTTCTCTCACCTGTAGGTCTTCCATGTGCGAGAGGCAGTCCTGGTTCTCTAGATCCTCCTTGTAAGAAAGTATCTCAGTGTCTACCATCTCTCTCTCCACCATTCCCAGCATGTTGAGGGATTCGCCACGCTGTCGCAACCGGCTGGCCAACTTCTCCTTCCCTACCCCACTGATGCCCCCCTTCCTGGGCACTTCTCTAGTGCCCCATTTATGCCCTCCGCGGTAAGAGGCCATCTTGGCTTGCGGGATACCCACTGTCCCCAAACCCTCCTCTGAGGTGCTCTTATCTGGGCTGGATGGGGTGGAAGGATGGGTCTTAGGGCTGGTTGACAGTTTATGTGCCTGCTGCTCCATGTTCAAGGGAACCGACATGGGCTTATCCAGCTGTGCTTGCATGAGCTCGGGGTTGGGCTTGTGTTTTTTGGCGAGGGGGATGTCCCGCTGGCACTCGTTGCTGTAATAGCTGGAGGGCTCTGATCTCGGTCTTCTCAAATCTAGGCACAAAAGAGAAAGAAAGAGTGAGTTGCACTCAGAGCAGAGGATGGATATGATATTTCCACTACATTTGCTTTGTCTCTTAGGTGCTATTAGTGATAATCTAAACAAATAAGACAGTTGGAATTAGATTGTGCAGCAAGTACTGCTCGTTGAAGCGAATGTAATAAGGTATTACATTAAGCAAGCAAATCTGCTATAATCTTTTTAGTAAAGTTCATCTGTTTTCTAAATAGTGCAGCTTTTCCAGTAATGAGCAACAAGCAGCAGGTTTTCACTAATGTTTTGTTTCTGATATATTACTTGTTGAATTTAGAGTAAATTTATCTGTTAACGTTTAATGTTGTCAAGATTCGTTCATTCTCATTTATAATGTCACAGAAGACTTCAAATAAATGCTTTAAAACCTTCTATTAAAATAATGCATCATGGTTTCTAAAGAGATATTAAGCAGCAAAAATTATGCTAATTGATTTGATTAAATATGACATTTAATTTCTTGTAATGTTTCTTGAGTTCCAAATCAGCATATTAGAATGATTTCTCACAGTTATTTTAAATTGTAATAATATTTCACAATATTGCTGTTTTACTGTTTATATGAGTTGACGGTAGCCATTGATTTCCATAATATTTTTTTTCTATACTGTTGGTGTCAATGGCTACCGTCAAATGTTTGGTTACCAACATTCTTTAAAATATCTTCTTTTTGTGCTAACAGAAGAAACAAAACTACAGGTTTGGAACAACTTGAGGGTGAGTAAATTAAGACAGAATTGTAATTCTCACCAGGGTTCTGGTTGGTGCAAGGGGTTGTAGCAGTGGTGGCTGTACCAGTGTTCTGCCCGCTGGGGGCCACCATATTGTCACTGCTCCAGCTGACCATCCAGCTGTTGGAGGTGGGGATGTCGGGGTTGGGAGAGAAAGACATGCTAGAGGTGGGAGGTAAAGAGGATGGGGTCTGCTGCTGCTGCTGTTCCTCCCTCTGGAGCTGCGGCTGGATGGGGTGGAAGGATGGGTCTTAGGGCTGGTTGACAGTTTATGTGCCTGCTGCTCCATGTTCAAGGGAACCGACATGGGCTTATCCAGCTGTGCTTGCATGAGCTCGGGGTTGGGCTTGTGTTTTTTGGCGAGGGGGATGTCCCGCTGGCACTCGTTGCTGTAATAGCTGGAGGGCTCTGATCTCGGTCTTCTCAAATCTAGGCACAAAAGAGAAAGAAAGAGTGAGTTGCACTCAGAGCAGAGGATGGATATGATATTTCCACTACATTTGCTTTGTCTCTTAGGTGCTATTAGTGATAATCTAAACAAATAAGACAGTTGGAATTAGATTGTGCAGCAAGTACTGCTCGTTGAAGCGAATGTAATAAGGTATTACATTAAGCAAGCAAATCTGCTATAATCTTTTTAGTAAAGTTCATCTGTTTTCTAAATAGTGCAGCTTTTCCAGTAATGAGCAACAAGCAGCAGGTTTTCACTAATGTTTTGTTTCTGATATATTACTTGTTGAATTTAGAGTAAATTTATCTGTTAACGTTTAATGTTGTCAAGATTCGTTCATTCTCATTTATAATGTCACAGAAGACTTCAAATAAATGCTTTAAAACCTTCTATTAAAATAATGCATCATGGTTTCTAAAGAGATATTAAGCAGCAAAAATTATGCTAATTGATTTGATTAAATATGACATTTAATTTCTTGTAATGTTTCTTGAGTTCCAAATCAGCATATTAGAATGATTTCTCACAGTTATTTTAAATTGTAATAATATTTCACAATATTGCTGTTTTACTGTTTATATGAGTTGACGGTAGCCATTGATTTCCATAATATTTTTTTTCTATACTGTTGGTGTCAATGGCTACCGTCAAATGTTTGGTTACCAACATTCTTTAAAATATCTTCTTTTTGTGCTAACAGAAGAAACAAAACTACAGGTTTGGAACAACTTGAGGGTGAGTAAATTAAGACAGAATTGTAATTCTCACCAGGGTTCTGGTTGGTGCAAGGGGTTGTAGCAGTGGTGGCTGTACCAGTGTTCTGCCCGCTGGGGGCCACCATATTGTCACTGCTCCAGCTGACCATCCAGCTGTTGGAGGTGGGGATGTCGGGGTTGGGAGAGAAAGACATGCTAGAGGTGGGAGGTAAAGAGGATGGGGTCTGCTGCTGCTGCTGTTCCTCCCTCTGGAGCTGCTCCAGACACTCTGCCAGCTTGGTGTGGCCACGGGAGCGGGCGATGGAGAGGGGCAGGCGCCCTAGAGAGTCTGGGATGGCCAGTGCTCTCCGGTCCCACTTGTACAAGACCACAGCTGCCTCTAGGTGACCCAATGCACAAGCCCACATCTATAACAAAGAAACAAAGAAAAATTGGTGTGGGAAAAGCAAGAAAGGTACGGTTTATTGACCAAATTTGGTCAAAGTTCAATTAGAATTGCTTAAGGAACACACCAGTGGAGTACAAGAGAAGTGATCCACGTTGAGAGGGTCCACCTCAAGTTCCAGATCAATGCTGTCTGCATGCTTCGTGCTGGATAAGACAACAAATACAATTTCTCATAGTTAGCAATCAGCACAAAGTCAGCTAAAACATATTTACACATAGATGAAGACAGATCTAAACGCTCTTAACCTACCGCCATTTGATGAGAGTCTGGATGAGGGTGGCGTAGCCTTGGCCTGCAGCAAGGTGTAGCAAGGTCATGCCCCGGAAGGTCTTGGAATGAATCAGATGTTTAGATTTGGCCCAGCAGGCTCTGTTCATCATCTTCTCACAAACAACAACCACACGACTCTCAAAAGAGCTTCCTGCTTGTCCCGAGATACACTGCAGAAGAAAATGGAGGGCCTGACATCTTCACAAACTCAATGAACTGTTACAATCCACTACTTTCTGCAATAATCATTATGGCTCAAACTGCAAGCTATAACTCACGAGTAGAAAAGCTGCAGCAATATACAATTTGTGAACAAACTGTCTCAATGAATTGGTTCAACTGGCTCACAAAAGCAGTGTTAATAAACACCATGTTATTAAAATAAGTAAACCTTTCAGCCAAGTGATGTAACTGAATTTTAGTATTGTTTATTGTAAATGCAATTTACCTTTAGGTTCTTAATGGCTATGTTTTTGTATGATTTCTGAATGGATCATGTGACACTAAAGATGTTTGCAAAATGCATACTAATAACAAAATGAAAATTCAGTTTTGTTTTAAAATGCATTCTAATCTCACACATAACAATTACTGATGTGCTGCTATACCTGAGACTGGCTATTAGAGCCTCCGTTTCCTCCTCCTCCCCCTCCAGTCCCTGCTGTTCCTCCGCTGCCCTGCTGCTGCTGACCGGCCATCTCAGCCATCCTGCGCTCCATCTGTTCCAACCGCTCCAGGATGGACATTCTGAACTGGTTATCTGCAGAGGAACATTAATATCAGTTTAATCACAGTAGTTCACAAAACTTGGGTTCCAACTTTAGTTTAACACTCAAATTAGCTTCTAAAGAAGACGGTTGCTGTAAATTGCACTATATCTCACTGAGGTCTGAAATAAATTCTTCTTTGGTTTAGCTCACATCCCCAAGCCAAATTCTATATCGGATGTTTAATCAAACTCAGTCATTACCCTTATGGTATCCAATCAAGACTCAAGAGTCTGATGTTATCAATCACCATTTCCGTAATTGCAGTCATTATGATAAATTAATGGAATCAGTAATGAGGCACATCAACATATTCAGCTTCGGAAATAGTGGTGAACATACACATACAGTAAATTATTTTGTATTTGTATTTCAGAACTAGATTTTTACATTTTCCACAAGTGCAAAACTCACTACCAAGAGTAATGAGTGCCCACTGCTATATGGCAAGAGTGCCCATTGCTATATGGTTGCTATGGTGTTCTGAACGGCTGCTAGGTTGCAGGATGAGTTAAATGCTTACAAAGTTACTTTTGTAACCCAAATCCAGACAAATATCAAGCTGGCTCCCTAACTGAACTTTTGACACTAAACATATAGTAAAGTACTGGGACTAGCACAGATGAGCTATAGCACCAGTACTCACAACTGTGTGTGCCTCGCACTGATAAGCCTGTTTCTGTGGCAACCTGCTGCTGCACGGTAACCAAGCGACAGGGGCATGCTGGGCTGCGGTTTGCTCTGGTGTCAGTTTATTGATGAATGGAAAGACACATTGAGAGATGGCAAAAGTGCAAGAAGGTAAAAATCAAATTGGTATTGCCTGTGCTCCCTAGAAAAAAAGTAATATATTTAAAATACATTTATTTCATACTATGTATAGTTCAAATCTATTACCATATTTACTGACATATCGCTTGAGACTTAGTGCTATAAAAATTATAATTTAACTACTTGTACACACTTGTACTACTTGTGCACAACACACATTTCTTAATATTAAGCCTAAAATGTGTTTTAAGGCCGGTTCACACCAAGAACGATAACTATAAACATAACTATATTAGCGTCCACACCAGCGGAATATCGTCTGTTTATTCTAAGCGCACGCTTGTCTGCCTCAATAAATTTGCGAGCTTGTAATGGATTCTGATCGGGTGTCAATATTTGTATCGTTCATCAGCGGGAAAAAATCGTTCTGAAAGTGATTCCAACAATATTGTTTCTCTGTGCCTTTATCGTTATAGCTGTGGTGTGGACTCTGCTATTCTTTAATATTGAGAACGATTTTTGGAACTATATCTTAAAGTTTATCGTTATGTTTCGTTATTGTCCTTGGTGTAAACGGGCCTTTAATGTCACTATTGATAAGGATTGTATGATTTTTGAATAATATCGGTCTTTAAATGTGAGATATTTAAAGTGAAGTGTACCTGAAGTATATTTGCAATAGTTCCACTTTAGTACAATCAAATATACGTCAGTATATCTTTAGTTGGACTTCAGCACTACTTCCACACAATTACAGTGTATTCAGTACAAAATTAGTTGTTCCAATTTAACATAATTTGGGCCAGATTTACTATCAGCTTGTGCCAGCGCAAACCCTCATTTGGCATTAAAACTACTGTCAAGATTTACTAAAGACACGCAGTGGGAAATTAGCGCTAAAAAGGCGTGGACAAAGTTATTTTTGAGACCTTATTGAATATGCATTTGTAGGAGTTTATCTTTCGATTGGTACATTTCTGGGAGGAGAGTATTTAAATGAATCACGCAACATGATTTATGAAGATTTGCGCTTGTCAATTCACTGGTATTTGCGGCATTTTTTAACAGCCAAAAAAAGCATGTCTTAAAGCAGGTGGAAATTTACGCTGCTCTTGGTAGATTGCGCTGGTCATTATGTAAATGAGATGTTGCATCTGTGCTCTTTAATGTGCACCTTGTCAGTAAATCACCCACAGAATTTTTCCCTCCCATCGGCGCTTTTATGGAATTGTGCTAATTTGCGCTAATTTGCCCTGTTTAGTAAATCTGGCCCCAAAAGTACAAATGCAGGGTATTTTTATTAAGTACATAAATATGTAAATGTATTTTGTAGTATATTTTTCACTTGGGCTAACATACTAGTAAGCAACATTTGTGTCTTTTGCACTAAAATATATATTTGTGTACTATGAACGTCACAAAGCAGGCAGGTACTGTTTGGTGAAAATCTCAGGAGTGGTGTTCATAGGTCATGTACATAAACTGACACTGTTTGACAACCCAGTAACCCAGTAAGAGTCTGGCTGCCTAAAGGACACCAGTCAGTGACAGTGACAGGTCACAGAGTTTTATACTGAACATTAAACTCAAGCAACATATGTGACCCTGGACCACAAAACCAGTCATAAGGGTCAATTTTTCCAAATTGAGATGTATATATAATCTGAATAAATAAGCTTTCCATTGATGTACGGTTTGTTAGGATAGGACAATATTTGGCCGAGATACAAATATTTGAAAATCTGAAATCTGAGTGTGCAAAAAAATCTATTATTGAGAAAATCGCCTTTAAAGTTGTCCAAATGAAGTTCTTAGCAATGCATATTACTAATCAAAAATTACGTTTTAATATATTTACAGTAGGAAATTTACAAAATATTTTCATGGAACATGATCTTTACTTAATATTCTAATGATTTTTGGCTTAAAAGAAAAATCTATAATTTTGACCCATACAATGTATTTTTGGCTATTGCTACAAATATACCCCAGGGACTTAAGACTGGTTTTGTGGTCCAGGGTCACATATGGTCTAGAGTTGTTGTTAACTAAAACTATTAAAAAAGTGTGATTTCTAAGGTGTTCTACGTGGGTTTTAGCATGTTACTATGTCGTTTCCAGGGGTTATATTTCAAAGTTTAATACTTGAGGTTAAGGATTTGTTCAAATCTCTTAAACCAGCCTCAAAGCCTTAACAACTACCATTAATAATGTTTTAATGTTAATGTTAATAATGACTTTTGTTATTATGCCACCATGCCAGAGAGAGAGACAGAAGGAAAATAAGCTACCTAGAGACTAAAGATGCCAAGAGAGCAGCTGTGTGGCAGCGTAGTTAGCAGCAGCATTGACATGTCTTTGTTCAGACACAGTGCTGCAGTCTGCTGCAGTGCAGATTATGTCATCTCCACCTGCTGCCGCGAGTGTGCTCAAAATGCCACACACATACACTGCAGAGGGAGAGGGGGTTAGGGGGAGGGGCCACATTGCAGGGGGCGGAGAAAAGGAAGGGACCACCAGTCAGAGCTGAAGTAACACGGTGACACGTGCAACACCTTCCCATTTCTGCATAAACTACAAACGTGGCAGACTATTTGTACAGAGAGCAGATATTTAATTATGTGAACTGAAACTTCAAATCTCAGGTTTCTCATGATAATATTTAAATTTTTTTTAAATGAATAATCCGTTATCATTTTCCCTTTTCTGTTGCTGATCTATTAACTCACACTACTTTCTTTAATAATGGCAGTAGAGTATAAACTGTTTATCGGAAGAATTCGGGCTACACGATAATCATTAAACTGCTATATTGCAGACGGTAATGCTTAATCAAGACCACACTTAAAATATGATTAATTATGCAGCCCTTGGAAGATTATTAAAAACTGGGACCAAAGATAAATTAGGAAACTAAACTACACAGAACTGCACTCAAACCCTAAAGTGTGGCTATAAATTGTTTAAATCATCTGGATGCTGCCAGATTTACTGAACAAATTGTTTTTACCAAATAATAGGTAAGAACAGTATGTTGCTTCAAAAAGCCTATATTTCAAAACATAGTGTTTACTGTGCATTACAACTTGTTTTCTGCTGGGTTCAGCATGGGCCAATATAATACAGATAGAGCATTACTACTTTCAGCATCATGTCTGAGATACTTCTAAGGGTGCTACTCACAGTATGTGTGAAACAGGCCTAAGTCAATGTCACCATGTCTGTCTCTCCAGAGACTGCCTTTTTGTGTGAGCTGCCCTAAACTGCCTCCTACATGGCCTCCAGCTCCTGTTTAAGCTTTTCAACGTCTGCCTCTGCCTCAATTCAACCTTTAACCACAACGTTCTCTCCTCCTCTTTTCATTCCTGCTCTTAGAATGACTCATGGGCACTGAGTCACGTTCACGGACGTCAGGCATACGTTGTGTATGTGAGCTGCGAGATCCTGAGGAGTAATGGCTGAGAAAGAGAGAGAGCTGATAGACAGCTCAATGAGACGAGAACTTCATTAAGGGTCTATTCACTATTTATTCCTGTGGGAGACTTGATGAGTCAGGAGCTGAAGACTCTGAGTGTGTGTTTATTTTCAGCTCAGGAACTGCTTCTATATCTTTGAGGATTCTGTCTATAGTGTCACATATACACAAACAAACACCTGGAGTTATAACAGAGATATTAATGCTCTGTCTTTCAGCAAAATAGGCTAGCGGAGTCTCTCTTTGTCTGCTTTAATCTTCCTTGCATCTTATAATGCTGAGTGTGTAGTTATGTGAGCAAACACCTGGACTGCACTCATTTGTTACAATAAACCACTGCAGTAATGTACTGCATTAATATATAATTCTATGCAAGAGGATATAAGTGCTATGTGGGCGTACCTGTTATCATCTTTCTGTTATATTAATGTTAACAGTGTCCACTTAAATGAGATTATACACAATGCTTGCTTTTATATATACACATAAACAAACTGCATTTGAAAAAAAAAAATATATATACAGTCACAGTAGCCATTACTCAATTATAAATATTTCAAATAGTAGTTTGGAACAATTTTTTCACACATGAACAAATTACATGCATATCCAATTCATCAAGTGGCATCTAGTTGAAAAATGCCTTAAAAATTATAAACATTCCTTTCAGAATAAAAGGACAAGCTGAGTACATTGTATTGTGGGATACAGTATTCCAGGCAGTGTGTTCTGTTTTGTACTGTACAT